TTAAGTCTCGATAGCAAACCCAATTTGGTCCCATTTGTAATAGGTCAAGCCCATCGCTAGCCTTTTACGTATACTTGTCAACTTTAAAACACGTCTATTAGGAAAAGATTTTCACACTTTTGTAAAGAATTTTCCATTCCCCTCTCCAACTGACGAGGGATCTCACGCATAACTTGACGTAAAGTTTACGTTAATATATATATATATATATATATATATATATATATATTTATATCTTGATTAAAGTATCATTTTAACGTATTTATTTTGGATATGGTTTTATTTTAATTCATGTAAAACATAATTATTTAAAATTAGCATAAAATCATATCGTATATTTTCATTTTTATGTCTAATTAATTATAAACTTAGGGATTAAAATTTATAAATAAAGAATTACAGTAGCATTAGCAATTATTTACCAAAATGTCCGCCAAAATTAGAAAATGAGCGATTAAAAAGGGGTTTAATGGTAAATATGAAATTTTGAATGGGGAAAAATGTTAGGAAACTGTCTAATCCAAACTACCCGCCCAAAAATCACGGCTCTCTTGTAATTTTATTTTTTTTAATAAATTAAAAATACTATTAAAACAATTTAGCATTTTTTAATAATTAAATACAAAATTAAAAGATTTATTAGATAATTTTTTATAAAGTAGAATATAAGTTTACCTGATAAAAACAATTTAGCATTTTTTAATAATTATTTTGGAGTTCTTTTTTACCTCACGTGAGAGTCACGTGCGAATGTCATAACCCCTAACCCAATTATGCCAAAAAAAACAGAAGCACACTTCAATACTTCAATCAGGTTTAAAGTGTGAGAAAGCGAGTGAAGAGAGAGAGAGGAGAGAGAGAGAGAGAGAGAGAAACTCACATTTTCTCTCTCCCATTTCGCTCCCAAAAAGCAAGTTTCAACGGCAAACAACCAGCAGTTCAACTCCGCTAATGGAGGGGGAGACCACGGTGGCGACCACCACAATAATGCAATGCCGCCGACGCACCGGGCCTCCCAAAGCTCCGAGATCTTCCGGCCTCTTGATTTTCCTCTCCTTTTCTGTTTTGTGGAACTTCGCCGCCGGAGCTTTCGATTACGCCGACGCTCTCTCCAAGAGTCTACTATACTTTGAGTCTCAACGATCGGGAAGACTTCCGTACAACCAGCGCGTCAGCTGGCGAGACCATTCTGGCCTCACCGACGGCCTGGAACAAGGAGTCAGTTCCTCAAACTTCTCAATGATTGCTCTGTTTTCGGTTTTTTAGAGCATCGCTTATGGTAATCGATTCGAGTAATTTTCGGTGTTACAGGTGGATTTAGTCGGAGGATACTACGACGCTGGTGATCACGTGAAGTTCGGCCTCCCAATGGCTTTCACCATAACGATGCTGTCATGGAGTGTGATCGAGTACCGACGAGAAATCGAAGCCGCTGGCGAATTAGAGCACGCTCTCGAGGCGATAAAATGGGGAACCGATTACTTCATTAAAGCGCACACTAGCCCCAATGTGCTGTGGGCAGAGGTGAATCTCATTCTCAGTTTATCATAATCGCGACTAATCGCATTGTTCCCTAAGCATTTTTCCGCCGAAATTCAGAGTGTCTGGTGTGTAAAATTCACAGGTCGGAGACGGAGATACAGACCATTACTGCTGGCAGAGGCCGGAGGACATGACGACGTCGCGGCAAGCGTATAAAATTGATGAGAGTACCCCAGGGTCAGATCTTGCCGGAGAGACGGCTGCAGCGATGGCAGCAGCGTCGATTGTGTTCAGAAAAACGAACTCACATTACTCTCACCTCCTGCTCCATCACGCGCAACAGGTAACAGAAGTTGAACAGAGTTAGTTACGTTGTTAGAGGAGGCAGTTGATTGAAAACGAAATTAAACTGACTGAATTTGTGTTTGGAAATTTGGATGTGAAATAGTTGTTTGAATTTGGGGATAAATTCAGAGGTAAATACGACGGAAGTGTGGGAATAGTGAAGAGCTACTATGCGTCGGTGAGTGGGTATAAAGATGAACTGCTGTGGGCTGCGCTGTGGCTGTATGAGGCCACCGACAACAAACAGTATTTGGAGTACGTCGTCAACAAGGCTCATTGCTTCGGTGGCATTGGATGGGCCATTTCCGAGTTCAGCTGGGACGTCAAGTATGCTGGCGTCCAACTCATGGCCTCCAAGGTAAATTCTCTTTATTCTTGGTTCTTTTCATTTAATTTTCTTGCTTAACCATAATTAGTTAAAACTATTATAGCCTCGACCAATAAGATATAAGTCTAAATCATTAGAAGAGAGTTGATTAAAGATTCATCTCAATTAGTATTACCATACTTCTTCTAATAGTTTGTATGTCAGTAGAATCTTATGCTAATCGTGTGTGAGTACTTATTTTTCATTTTATTTTTGTGGGTAGTGAGTTTTCAAGTTAATCCCACTAAAAGTTAAGTTTTATTCTTTCCTTCCTCGGATGGAAAGTAAAATTTTGTTGGAAAATAAAGATGGTAAACTTAACTAAAGTTAGCCTATGATAGTTAACCTTTAAATAAGTTATATGAGCTTAACAGAAGATTTATTAAGACCAAAAGTTGAATGGTTCATAACAACGTGTACCCTGAGTAATAGGAATAGATTTGAAAATTAGAATTTAGTTTATATGGTGTGTATACTTTTTAGAAAGCTAAAAGTTAGTCTAATTAATTTTAAGCATTAGAAGTTGCGATAAAAACCTACCTAATTATAAAAAATTTATTAAACCATGTGAACTGAACTCGTTGTGAGGACGAATTTAGGTTAGAAAGTGACATTAAGATAGGGATTGGAGGAGGAATTAATGTTTAATGGGGAGTGGGATCTTTTGTGAGGATTTTGTGTTTGATTAAGGAGTGTAAGGGCTGATAAATGGAATAAGTGAAGGGGAGGGGAAATCTGGGCATCTCTCACCGTTTTTAAAGCTTTTGGTCACGTCAGAGATGGAGTGGCCCCTAATTAAAGGACCCAGTGGACAGCAAGGGGTAAAGTTTTAGAGTTTGAGTCATGTTGGATGGAGCACAAGGCCACGTGCATCCGATACCACAGCAATTAATGTGCCTTCTGCCTACTCAAACCCCTCCACGTGTCCCTTTTCATTTCCTTTCTCTCCATCTCCCCAGGATCACACAGCTCATTATCCTTCCAAAAAAAAGGGTCTCTTTACTCTTTACTCCTTAATCTTTGTGTTCTCTTTCTCATTCTAGTCCCTGCTGTTTAAATGTTTTCAGTTTAGTCTTTTTAAGTGCGTTTCTAATTAGTTACCAAATCACTAGGTTGGAAAATTAAATTATTAATGTTGGTAAATAATTTGGGAAAGATGTGCCACACTTTTTTGTTTAGTTCAATAAAATGTGGGGTGGATGGACAACTTTTAACCTTTTAGTCAACCATATTGGTTTCACTCAACCATATTGGTTTCACTCAATAAAATTATGTTCAAACTAGCTATTTGTGCTTTTACCAGTTTAATTGTTCATTTAAATTTCTACCAACTTACTGATCATTGTTCTAAATATATCAAAGATCAAAAGTTATAATTATAAATTTCTAAGTCAAAACTTCCACAATAACAAGGAGTAATTCTTGTCTCTGTTTAGTTGCTAATGCAGGGGAGGCATAATAGCAACGAGCAAGCCAAAATTCTGGAGAAGTACAAATCAAAAGCAGAGTTTTACCTCTGCACACTCCTCAACAAGAACAATGTCAGCAACGTCGAGCGAACTCCCGCCGGCCTTCTATTCATCCGCCAATGGAACAACATGCAATACGTCACTACGGCGTCGTTTCTCCTCACCGTCTACTCCGACTACCTCCGCCGCTCCAACCACCACCTCAATTGCCATGCCGGCCCCGTCTATCACGAAGACCTCTTCAAATTCGCAAAACAACAAGTAGATTACATCCTCGGCGCTAACCCTAACAACATGAGCTATTTGGTGGGGTTCGGCCCCAAATTTCCTACAAGGGTTCACCACAGAGGAGCCTCGATCTTGTCGTACAGAGAAAACAAAGCATTCATCGGGTGTACTCAGGGGTATGATAACTGGTACGGACGGGGAGACCCGAATCCGAACGTCCTCGTTGGAGCGGTGGTGGGCGGCCCCGATTGCGAAGACAAGTTTGCCGACGAGAGAGGGAATTATATGCAGACGGAGGCCTGCACGTACAACACGGCGCCGTTGGTCGGCATTTTTGCCAAGTTGTCGCAGCTTGGAGAATCGGATCCGGGTCAAACCCGGGAAGACCCGGTTCTGTATACATCATCTTGAAAAGAAAAAAGGTAAAAATATTATTATAAAATATATTGATAAACATGTGTGGGAAATGGGAATTTAATTTTGGGTGAAAAAAGAAAAAGAGAGTGTTTTTTAATAGGTGGCTGAAATTAAGGAGTTGGAAGCCCCAGCTTTTTCTTTTGTAGCTTCTTCATTTATGTTTATATAATTGATATAGTAAAGGTAAAGCTCCCTATCTCGTGGACTTGCTTTTGCCTCTTCCATCTTTATTCTTCTGTATTTGAATAATATCTCTCATTTATTCCTTTCGTATTTGAGTTGTAGAACATTGGTAGGACAATGAGGTGAATTTGGGCTTCAGCCCAGCTCGGTTCGCGCTTGATTTTGTCTTATTATTTGGTTTCTCTTTCCATCCATTAATCTCCATCTCCACTTTCTAATGTTGAGATTATTAATTCCATATCTCTGTAAATGAGATTTATAGTTATTAGACTATCTCAGCTTTTAAGAGTGTCCTGAGTTGGATGATAGAAGTCCCACGTGGCTAATTTAGGGTATGATCATGTGTTTATAAGTGAGGAATACTAACTCCATTGGTGTAAGCTTTTCTTGGTTTGAACTCCGCCCACGTTCCCTTGTATTGAAAGGGTAGAGAAAAGTCCAATTATGGGCAATAATTGAAAAATGGAACAATTTGGAATATGTGAGTTTTTAAAGGATAATATGTCCATAGTAAACACTAAAAACATGTTCTTCTTCAACCCCTCTCTTTTCTCTTTGCATTTCTCCCATTACTGTAACGGTCACTTCCTCTGTTCCCTCTTAAACCTCCCATTTTATTTCTCTCTCTAAAACGCCTCTCTCCTACCAATGGAGATCGATTTAGCTCTCTTTCTCCTCATTGCCCTGATTATCTGCAGCGCGGCGGAACCCCAGCATCCGTCGATCAAAGGCCAAGGCGGCGCGACGGAGCTCTGGTGCGTGGCCAAGAACAACGCCGACGACGCCTCTCTGCAATCCGCACTCGACTGGGCCTGCGGCGCTGGCGGCTCCGACTGTTCCCCAATCCAGCCTAGTGGCGCCTGCTACGACGCCTCCAGTGTCCAGACCATGGCCTCCTTCGCCTTCAACGACTACTTCCTCAAACACGGCATGACTGACGACAGTTGCTTCTTCCAAAATTCCGCCGCTATCACTTCCTTAAACCCTAGTCAGTTTCTTCTCCCTCCCGATCTCTCAAATTCTCCATCGAATCTTTGTTTTTCTTTCCAGATCTGTAACTCAATCGCTCATTGATTTTGATCTGTCTTGTTTCAGGCTATGGAAATTGCAGATTCCCATCTAGGTAAAAACTCTCTCCATGATCCTTAAGCACCCTGTTTCGATTTAGGGAACAATTAATGTCCGTGATCAAGAAATTAATCATCAACCGTCAACGAATCTCCGACTTTAAAGCCTTTTTTCCAGTTTTAAAGTGATCGATTTCTCTCATTTATGGCGCAGTTCGTTGAGAAATGGGAACTTCTCAAGCCAATCCACATCCGTAGGGCTGGGGCCAAGCGAAGACCTAAGCGGATCGGGTCGAAAATCGGGTCGGATATGGGTTTGGCCCATAGCAATCGGGTATTTGTTCTTTAAAATTATGTTTCTAATTTAAAACTTAATCTAGTTTTGTTGTGTTTAATTAGATTGATTGTCATTTCTGATTGGTGGGTTTGTGTATTTATATTTGAATTTTGGTTTTTATTCAGCAAATATTGGTAATTGGATGCCTTAAATTCATATTTTATGATTAAAATTTAAAAGATTATTAATTGAAATCTTGAGGTTTAACAATGCTCGTGATTCCAGAGATAAAAGTAGATACCAATTAGCGATCGGGAGTAACCAAACAAGATAAACAGGTCGATCAAACTAAAGTCAATTAATCAACATAGCTAAAGTTTAAGTCGAAAACACCAAAACCATCATTTTTTTTCTTTTATCGAAAGAGTTGTTCGTATCATTGTTTTTAAAATGAGCATTTTGACTTGCTCAGGCTCAGGCTGATGTTGCGCTTGCGACAACATTAATGTTGTAGCAATCAACACGTCCCGATATCACAAGAAACATTTCTTATAAAGGTATGGAAACATTCCCTAGTAGATGCGTTTTAAAAAATGTGAGGCTGACGGCGTTACGTAACGGATCAAACCAAACAATATTTGATAGCAACAGGCTTGACTGTTACACTCTTTTTGTCGAGAACCATATCGATAGCAATTATTTATATTCTAAGTGCTTTAATTTTTGTATGAAGAAGTATACATATTTATGATTCATTTAAATGTAATAAAATATTTGAAATAATTAAGGAGAAAAATATAATTAAGAAAGAAAAAATAATATCTTTACATTGACATTTGCTGCCTCTCCAAGTCTTGAACGTCGTCGTTTCCATTTTCGCGAACACAAGGTTGAATTCTTCTTGAAGACCTTTCTCTACTTAGAATCCGTCTGAATGAGCTCAATCGGGAGCTTGACCCACCACCGCTCTCCGCCACCGGAGCCTCCCGGGGTTCCGGCCGAATCATCGGCGCCGCCTCCGTCCGGCAATTTGGACACGTGGAATGCAACCCAAACCATTTGTCAATACATTCCAAATGGAAAGTATGTTTACAATTGGGTAAAACTCTCGCTTCCTCGCCGTCCTCGACGGCGCACAAACACACGGCGCACTCAACGGCAGCTGGGTTTTCCAATTGGTGTTTGAAAACAACGACTGGCAGAGACGCCATGACAAGGGGGTCGAGGCCGGAGTGCCGCGGCGGTCGCGGAAGGTCGCTGGAGTCAACGAGGGCGAGAATTCCAAGGCGGCGGAGAACGGCTTGGCGTCGGGCGTGACGACGGAGGGCGTAACGGGCGTAAATGTGAAGGGCAATGACGAGAAGAACGACAAGAGAAAGGGAAATGATGGCGGTGAGCATAATTCTGTTGTTCAAATTGTATGGGTTCCGGTTAGGGCGGTGATCCACCCAAAAGGGGGAGTCGCCGGCGTCGAAGGAGGAGGCGGACATGGGGTGTGCCTCTGGTTGTAGTGAGAGAAAGAAGAGAGAGAGAAGGAGAGGAGAAATTAAAATGGGAATTAGCAGAAAAGAAAGGGAATATAATGGGGATTGGATGTTGGTGTTAAGTGTGAAAGAGAAATTAAAATGGGAATGAAATTTCTTGGAGAAGAAATAAGGGAACTGCCATCCTTTTATTTTTCAATTAACTTGACTGTTCAACGTTGACTTCTTCTCTCACGTCTCTCTTTTTTTTTTTTTTTTTTTAAATAAAAAATCTAAAACAATAATTAATGGGTGAAATTATAATTTTTTTCATTTTTTTGGTATTATTATTTTAGGGTTAAATAGTAACTAATGAAAAAAAAAAGACAAATAAATGGGTAAAAAAATAAATAAATGTTGCTAAATTATAATTATAAATAAATAAATAAAATAAGTAAATAAACTGTCACATGGAGTAGATGCAAATAATTAAAAAAGTTGGGGTCGGAAAAGAAAAAAAAAAAAGAAAAAAAAAGTTGAAATTATTGCAATTATTGGAGAGGCTTCCCATTTCCCTTTAAAAAAAACCAAGAAAGTCGAAACTCGGTTTACTTTAATTGTTCTGTTACGTATAAAATAAACATTGTCATATATATATATATATATATAATTAAATTTTGAATATTTTCAATAAAATATTGAACTTTTAAATGTTAAAACATATTTCAATTTTAAAAATATTTTATACCGAAATAAATAAATAATTCATACAATACTGAACGATTAAAAGAGAGATATTTTATACGGATGATAATATAAAATAATTAAATATTAAGGGTAAGTTATGACAAAGTTTTTTTTTGTTTTTTTAATTTACCATGGAAAAACATTATTAATTTTTTTAATACGTTGTATTTAAAATATAATTGAGTGGTATTTTATAATTAAAAAATGTATGGAAGTCAAAGAAGGAAATTAATTTCATTTGTCCATTTGCGTTTAATTTATAATTTTATTTATAAAACACGCCTTTGAAACTTAGCCATGGCTACGTTTAAAAAGCATAATTTGTAGGCTAAATATTCATTAATTTTTATTTTAAAAAAAATAGTATATGATTTTCTTTTTTCAATTATACAAATTATTAATATAAACCTATATAGAAACTAGTTGATAGATAATTTCAAAATAGAATCTATCGAAAATAGTAGCAATAAAAATAGAATTATATTTTATATTTTTAAATATGTGTTTAGTAACCAATTTAGAAACCCAATTACAATTAAAAAAATTATATATATTATAATATATTTATAGACCATATAATTAGTTATAGTTAGCAACTAATTATTACATTAAATATAAATTATTATTTGATGAACTTTAATCTTCGTATGCAAAGGTCACACTTTCATACAATCATACTTGTACTTAAAATCTCTAATCATATTCGCGGTATTGTGAGAATAAAAATATTATATAATGAATTAAAATTTTTAAATAATTAATAACTAATTGGAAAAAAAAAATGAAATCACAAGATTTTGTGGAAAGAAATCAAAATAAAATTACAAAAAAAAAGAAATGAAAAAGACATGTAACAACTAAAATTTAGACTAAAGAAACAAAAAAAAATGTAAATTATACAAAATTGAGGATAGAGGAACCGATTTTTAAGTTTGAATTTTATTACAAATGACCCGTATTTTTATGTAATATTTAAATATTAGAAATCCAATAAATAATAAATAGGGAATCCGTAATTTCTGGGATGCCTTACCATTGACCGTAGATGATTATTATTTATTTATTTTAACTCAATTAAAAAATATCATAATTAGATAGTTAATTATTCATGATTTTTTTTTAATTTTTAAACTCACCCTAATTATAATATTTACAAAAAGAATCTAAAAGTTGAAAGTCAAATTCATAAAGTTCTTGTCGAACATATTTAATCGAAGTCTTCAAATGTAAGAAAAAACTGAAATTGTAATAACGTAAAATCTTAAAACTTGACAAATAGAATTTATAACCAAGAAAAAACCTTAGTCTTAATATTGTAGGTCGTTACCCCAATGGGAGCCCTTCCAGAAATTCTCGGGGAGCCCAGCCCTTCCAGAAATTCTCGGGGAGCCCTTCCAGAAATTCTGGAAGGCCTGGGCTCAAACCCAGGCCTAAGAGGGGGTTTGGAAATAGTTTTCAACCAGCAATTGACGCGCCTCGGTTAGAAACTCACTAGCTGCGTCATTGACCCAAGCGCAAAGTTAAAAATTTCAAAAGCTTCCACTCGCCTTTTATATCCATCAGCGTCAGTCCACCTTCGAATTCTTTTCGATGTGGGACAAAAATCTAAACCCCAATGAGAACGCACCTCTAACCTAAAATCCTTTCATACTCTGTTCCTTCCGATTCTTGAAAATTTTTTAGGTTCAAATTTTGTACTATCTATTTTAACCAGCGAGACTTAAGTTGATCTAATAGTTACGGCTAAGACTCGTGACATATTATTAAGGTTTTACTAAATGTTGTTTCCAAATTTAATCTGAGATACGTGTCAATTTAATTGGTCTCAAATTTGATACTTTGTAATTTTGTTATTTTTATATAAATACCAACGTAACAAAATAGCCGAAGATTCAACTTTGTCGATGTAGACATCAACTCGATTTTCAAATATTGGAAAATTATCTCTCTAAATTTCTTTCACAAGGAAGAAAGAGTGGAAAACGAAGCAGCTCAATGTTTTACCTAATTGTGAAAGAGGAAAATAGTTGGAATCTTCTAGCTTGGTCGCTTTCTATTACAATTTTTAAGGTCTCGTCACACTTAAAATGGTTATTTTTTTTTTAAGTTTAGAGTTTTTCGAACGAGTCTTGATGATCAATTTTTATAATTTATTTAAATTTGAGGACTAAAATATAAAATTTTAAATATTGAATCTATAATTAATTATAATACACCTAACAATTTCAATAAAAAAAAACGAGAAAATATAAATAAATAAATAATTTAAACACTAAATTCGAATTTTATTACATTATTCATAATCCGTGAATTGAAATTGGAATAAAATCAGATCTACCGGTGATAATTCGGAGACGACGAATGACTCCCCAAAACGACGCCGTCTTCCACACCTTCACCTCGAATCCGTGACGGCGTACAGAACTCCGATGGGCCCTGTAATCGGCCGCCGTGCCCCGCCGACTGACGAATCTGATCGCTCCAACCATGCATCTGAACCTGGGAAAACGCCGCCGTTGAATTTTGCCCCATCAATGGTTGCTGCAGCCACAGCCCGGCGTCGCCTCCTTCGTATCCTGCCGGAATCGAATCACCGATGAGCCGTTGGTAATTTCCCGGCGAAGAGTTTGCATTTTGCTCCGACGGAATTAAGCGTGACTCGTGAAAATTATGGAGAGATAGGGCGAGATCTCGAGGTGGGTCAGTGGGTGTCAGAATCAAATCCACCGGATAGCCCTGGAAATTGATGGAAGTGGTGGCAGAGGTCGTCGGAAAGAATGGTTCAAGCGACGGAGCAAAGTGTCCGACGGCGGATTGTAACTCAGAGGACTCTGTTTCCGTTTCCCCGGTTTTCTGATTTGGGTCAGCGAAGCCATTGGCAATAGGGGAATAAGGAGGAAGCTCTCGAAGCTTGTCAATGGCGAATTTCGCCTTCTTGATTAGCCAATCGACGGCTTTGCTGGGCCGATCATAACCCAACTGGTCTTGCACGTCGTAGAATCGGATGGCGGTGTGAGCCGACAATCTGACCCGGCGGTCGCGAGGGCCTTTGGAGGTGAAGACCTTGCTATGGCGGTCTTTCCGGGCGGTGGAGCGGATGATATGGCCACCTTGGACCGGAACAATCTCGGCGGCGGCACTGGATTTCATTTTCCGGAGGAATTTTAATGGTGGGTGTGCTGTGAATTGTGATTCTTCTTATCTTTTGATTGCTGAAAAAGATTGGAACATCAGAATCAAGGAGGGACCAGTGGTAGAATTGGAGGAATTAAATGTGGAAGTTTGTGAAGATGAAAGGGAAGAATCATAGCTTGTAATTAGTGGAGCTTAGAACCTGTGACTGACACAGACATGGCCGACCCTTTTCTACTCCAAAACTTAATGTCAGGCTTACAACAAAATTATTGGATACCACCTTCATGTAGATGCCAAATTTGTACGTCGAGTCCACGTGACCGTAGTGGCTAATTTAGAGAAACTATCAACCATGGCACACTTTGAGCTTGTTTAGCTATCTTATCTACTTCGATATTTACAAATTTATGATTTTATTGTGTGATAATCAAATGCGATACCATATTCATCATTATCATTTTACTCCACGTCACTGTCACTTATTTTTTATATAACATTCAAATGGGTTTGTATTCCGAAAGATATCAGTAAAAAAGTATATAAAAGTTAAAAAGAATAGAATTATTTTGAAACTAATTAAATTTTTATATAATTTAATCTTTAAATTTTATTGGCCGAGTTTGTGGCTACGAATGTAGTGATTGTGAGATGATGTGGCGGCTTCTCATCCAATCGTTTATGAGCCAGCGAGGCAAATACTCGTTTCCAAAAAATCCAACATACAACAAATTCAGTTTTTGTAATTTTGCACCATTGTCTCTTGCAAAAAAAAACCAATCTAAATTAATTATACAAATACATTTGTGTTTATATCTATTAATATAATGAATATATTTTAAATTATTATCCAATGCCCCTAGGTGAACCCGACCTAGGTGGATATGTACGGTTTCAACCAAGATCGAAGTCACTCAATTGAAATACAAGTATTGTAATCTCTCTTCTTACCCACATGTTTTCAATGCAATTGACTTTTATGATGCTTAATTTCAACTTGTTATCAATGACTTTTTTCTACCACGTTTTCTAAATATATTTTATCTCAAAACGTAACTCGAAGCTCGACCATAGATCAAAATTGACTGCAAAGTCCGACTTTTACATGGCTAGCCTGTTTCCTAAAATAGAACACACACCGCACAGACGCTAGTCAAGTGCCTAGAAAGTGTAATTCTCACTAGTCATATCATTTAAAAAAAAAAAAATCAATTTAGCCAAGGAGTTCAAACATTTTTTTTATTGGGTCAACATGACCGACCCAAAAATAAAGTTTATAACCCACTCCAGCTCTACTATACTTCGAGCTCTACTATACTTCTAACACTGTAATGAAAATTAAGAATATATGATGTTTATAAAAAATATCAGTGATATATGTTATGACGCATGAATATTCGACATTTGAGTTTTCCGAGATTTAGTTATTAATTTAATATATATAAAATTTCTAAATATTTATAATAAATATTAATGATATGCCACAACTCGTGAATATTTGATATTTGTGTTTTACGAGACTTTAGTTATTAATTTAATATATATATATATATATATATAATTTATAAATATTTATAATAAATATTAATGATACGCTGTAACTCGAGAATATTTGATATTTGAGTTTTACGAGATTTTTGTTATTAATTTAGTATATATAAAATTGTTAAATATTAATAATACACTATGACTCGTGAATATTTGATATTTGAGTTTTACGAGATTTTAGTAATTAATATAATATATATATAATTTCTAAATATTTATAAAAAAAATATTAGTGAAATGATATGAATATTTGATATTTAAAATTTATAAGTTATTAATTTAATATTTATAAAAGTTCTAAATAATAAAAAAAAAAAATCAACAACTAAAATGACTTTCGGGAGTCAACGCGCGTAAAAATTCATGATGACGTGGCGAATTCCAATTGGATATAGCTAAAAAATTTGGATTTGGCTCCAAAAACCAAAAAATCGCGGGTTTCAAAAACAAAATCTCCCTCTCCGGTCTTCCCTTCCCCCTTTTTTCCGACCAAAAATTTTCATTTTCACTCCCAATTCACCAAAATTTCAGATCCAAAACCCAAAATGATTTCCATTCCAATTCCCACCAAAACCTCCAACATTATAACCCCACATTCCCTTCTCCTCCACCGCCACCACCACCACTTCAAATCTCAATCTCTCTCAATCCTTCATCGTCTTCAATGGAGTTCGCCGCCGTCCGATTCCCCTCCGGCAAGGAGAACCTCCCGCCGCTATCCCAGAAGCAGTTCCCCCCAAATCAAAAGAAACCCATCACCAGAAGAAGATTGAATCGAAAGCCACTCGCTGATATAACCAATTCCTTTGACAGCTCTGTTCGCTTTAGCTTCGTTCAAGATCGTTCCCGCTCTGTCGAATCTGTTTGTTTACAGCTTAATTCCAAGAAGAGGAAGGCTGCTGATGAAATTTGTTCTGGAACTGCTAAATCGCTCAGAATGGGATTTAGATAATTGTTTGAATTTGTTTGTTCTTTTTTAATTCTCTTATAGAAAATCATCCCCTCGTTGATTTCTGTTCTTCTCCAGATTATAGAATTTACACCAATTTTGATCTGATTTTGCCTTCTCCTTCATTCGATTTCTTGGAATTAGAACAGTTTTTTAAGCATATTTTGTTGTCTTGCTTTTCGGCTGAAAAATACTTGAAATAATAAATTCTCTAATGTCCCGCGTTGGTTAGAGAGTGAATGAAATATCCTTTATAAGAGTGTGTAAACCTTTAGCTATTAGATCAGCTGCGTTTTAAAGCTTTCAGAGAAAGTTCAAAGAAGACAATATCGGCTAGTAGTGGAGATCATTACTGGAATGTGAGATCGAGCTCTTTCTCTCTTTTCGAATTATAGATGGATTTTTTAAAGATTTTGCAGAGATGTGAGATTGAGCAAAAGGAGTCAAACTTTAGCTTTGACCTTCTAACGACGAGTTTGACTTAATGTAAGGTCATACTAATGAAGATCACTTACATCACCCCATTCGAAAAAAATTCCCATTCGAAAAAAATTGAGTAGCTCAACTCTTAAGTGGTACACAGAGATGCTAAGTTATCATCATAATTTCTCCTCGTTTCTTTCCATGCAATGTACGCCATCTTAATTTTTGTTCAGCTCAGCCGAACTTATCATAATTTTGATTTAATTTAATCGTTAAAATCGAAATTATTATTATCATTTTTAGATTGAGGATAATACACTTTGGTCGGATTAGATGTTTGGATCTTCCAAACTTTTTACAAATGGGAGGAATCTTTTAAATCAGACTAAAATAATTATAATTTTTAATATATTAATAATAAAATGTGTCTAATTATATACGTGTTAACGCTTCTACTAGAGAGAGGTTTA